TTGCCTACTGGTAATTTTTTTTTTTTTTTTTTTTTTTTTTTTTTTTAAATTTCATATTTGTAAAATGTTTTTCATGTTTTTAGTATTTATTTCTGTGTGTATAGTTATGATTTTACTATTTTGCCTGTTTAATTTATTTCTATTAATGCGATATTCTTTATATAAATACACATTAAAAACAAGTACATTAAATACAAAGCTTCAAAAATTGAAGTCATAATATCAAAATGCACTTCTTTTTTTAAAATTAGGCTTAACTGCTGAAAATGTGCTGGCCAGTGGCGACGTTACATTTCAGTTGGTCCGATCCCATCACTGCTCTTTGTTCTCTCGGTGCTGGTCCTTAAGGAGTTAACAACACCCAAAAGCAATAAGCCAGCCACCAACGTCACGGAGGAAAACACCAGGTTGAAAATTATTCAGGCGACGACCTGCCAATGTCTGAATGGTTCGGCGAATTCGATGCGAAAGTGTTAAAGACTTTCCAGTGTGATGTACATAATATGTTTCCATTAAAATTCATGAAATGTCTTGGAACATTACCAGTCTTCGATCAGAAAGGGAGTGATCACTGTATTCTAAATAAGATGCAATGTAAGCATTTTTATGCCTATGATTTTCATAAAAGGGAACATCGACTTGCCAGACAAAGTGCTATCTTTCTACTGGCTAAAAACGTGACTTTCAAAATCAAATCACTGGAAGAAGCATTTTTAAATCTGTTGAGTTCTTAACTGTAGCCTGTCAAAAATGACTAGGCAAAAAATTTTAACCTTGAAAGAAAAGGACAAAAGAACTTGCCAAAGAAAAACTGCATTTAAACTGGAAATTTCCAAAACAACATGGTAAAATTTACTTCAAAGAACTATAATTGATAAAAAACAGATAAAAAATGTCCACGTCTGAAGGCAGTGCAAAAAGGACAGAAAATGAGGAGATAATGAAACTTCGTTTCTTAAATGATTTCAAGTTAATGAAACTACAAAAATGTTCCTGTTTCTAGATCTGCTTTGCCATGAAAAGTGAGACTTCGATAAAATATTAGGAGAGAATTTTGCACCGACTGATGGATGGCTCAAAAGCTGGAAAGAGAGAAATGTTATTGTTCATTGGAAAGTGCATAGTGAGAAGCTGGACGCAAATAATCATGCGAATGAAAACTGGTTAAGAGATGTTTTAAGTGAATACAAGACACACAAAATTTATAATATAGATGAAATTGTGTTACAGAACATTACCAGAGCACACATTAATATTTAAAGTGAAACAAGAGCTGCATAAGAAAGTATGTCTATGAATGTGCAGTATGGATGCAGCAACTAAGGAGACACCCTTGGATACTGGCAAAAACAGAAAACATCAATATCTGAAAGGAGCTCTAACTTAATGCAGTAACAAGAACTTACGGATGAGAAATAATATTTTTCTGGTTCTACTTCTTGTTCTTTTTATTAATATTTTGAAATAAGACAGCGAACTGAAAAATGAAGGGGGGAAAACAGCTTTAGTGTTGCCCTCTGATTTTGTTCTGAAATTAGTATTTCTTCCATCATTCAGCCCTTGACTTGGGTTTTACAAAAGCTCACAATAGAAAAGATGCCATTTCAACAAGTATGATCAAAACTGAATCTTTTTGAAAAAGCATGCACTTTGAAGGAGGTAACTACGGTATTTTTGCTAGAGATAATGCATATTTATAGCCAATGCAAGGGCAATCAACTAAAATTATATTTAAAAAAAAGTTACGAAGATTCATTTTATGTCAATTAATGATGATAATATTGAGGTAACATGTAAAAAAAATGATTATGATTATATTAACTGTTAAAACATCTGCAGATTTTATGATATGGAAGAAAGTGATGACGTGCCAACATCAAATGAATCTAGAAAAGCACTGAAACTTCTAACTCTAGAACTGAAAGCTGGTGATCAAAGTGTTAACAACAGTTTTAAGAACTTGAATATACAATGGAAAAACTGTTGATAATATGGATCAAATACGGAGAGAAAAACTACTTGTAAAAATGCAGAACTAAATCAAGCACATAATTATACAGAATTTTTTGTTTCAAGATAATTTAATTTTAGCAATAATTTGTAATTGTTAGTTTAAATATTAATTATTTTATTAGCTGTTATTTATTATCATATTGGATTAGTTTGCAATTACAAGTCGCCATCTATTAAACTCAGCCACTTGATAAACTCCAATACGTTTGGAATGAATATTATTTTAATAAACAGTGGGTATCGTATGCTAAGTATTTTTAAAATAAAAATTCTTTATTCCATACATAATTAGAGAAAGCATTCTGTTAAACACACACATCCTCTTATTTAGTTCCGAGTAGAAGCCATCCACTCTGACATTCAACAAACTCTTAGCATATTCTGCTCTAAGCAGCAGAATCATCACCTGCAGGGATTATATTCAAAGAATGATTCATAAATGATATTCTTATAATGAAAACTTGGTATAAAGAATAATAAACGAAAGGAGAAGTTATTTACTAATGATTTCATCAATACATTATGAATTCTATTATACCCTATATACTATATATGCTCAGGTATCTGCACTTATGTAACATCTGCAACTTAATTTCTGGAAAGGAATATCACGAGGAAATATTAACCCAAACATCTACGCTAGTATTTTAATGAAAGAAAAATTACTACTAAGATACTGCATGAGTAGAAGATAAAGGTTAAACAAACTAAAACTAGTCTTCTAGAAATTCAGTTACACCCACTGGCAATGTCAGCAAAAGGTAGGGTACCTCAGGAAATCATTAAAAAGCTTGAAAAACGAGGCATCGCAAATATTAAGTTGAACAAGATTATTTGCTGTGGAGGATACTTCTAATTTATGACAGTAAATTGACAGTTTGTCAGAAGATAAGCACCAAATGAAACAAGAATTAGTTTTGCATAGTTTAGTATTTAAATTTACTTACAAACTCTACCAATCCTTCGAATTTGGAAAGTTATCATATATTGCTTCAGAAAACAAATAAAAATTTTTGAAAAATTAGGAAGGGGGGGAAATGGTACAGACCAGGTACATCATATAAATCACAAAAAAAAATGAGAGAGAGGGAGGGCATTCTTTAAATTCATATGATTTTAAAAAAAGGCTTTAATTATATAATATTTGTACAGTAAGATTGGAGTTTTATTTTTAAAAAGGGAGAGAAGCTCTGTTTCAATTCGGTTTTCATTTTTCTTTTTTTCATTATCATCTGTCTTTCTCTGGCAACACTAATATTTTTTAGCCACTAATTTGCAAAATTATGTATTAATGCATCCATTTTGTTGCAATATGAAGATTTTTTTAACGGATGAAAATGTAAAAGTTACTGATCAGGTGCAAGTTTGGTGGCTCCCCCCCAAGATTCTTAAGAAAGTTTTTAATACAAAGATATCGATATTTTATCATAAATCAGCAAACATTAACTATATATAAAAATTAAACATGGTTTGAAGATTTAAATTATAAATCTGAATTATTAAATAAGAATTCCATGCTACAAAAATAAATAAATAAATATATAAAACATGTTCTTCAAATCTTAAGGTAATTTTTTTACACTATTCTCCAAAAGTACACAGCAATCTGTTTTCTATTTTAAAAAAAATCACAGAACAGTGGAGACTTGACTTTGTACAAGCCTCAGCAAACAGCAGCTATCTAGGCAGTTTCTATTCATGTTTCTTTTACTACTAATCAATTCCACAGGCTTATATTTTAAAACTAAGATTTAACAAAAAATACCACGATTTGTTTATAAAAACAGTTATAAAAATACAACAGAAAAGAACGCATATGAAAATGATGATGTAGTTTGACTGAGGGATTATTATGAGAATGGCTGCCAGAAGAATGGTTAAGCATACATGGTTGCTAGAATTTGGCACATTCTGAAAATTTACTGACTACTAAGGTGGTTGCATTTAATACATAAGTACCAAAATATATGTTGAACGGAATACTTTTCTATTCTCTTAATAACTATTTCGGTCTTAAATAGTTATTTCAGTATTTTATAATTTTATCTACTATATCTAGTTTCACTTCACAGAATTACTCAATATTCTTCCTATCAAAAGCAATAAAAGAAATAGATAACTCTTTAATGTTATACTGTTCCCTTCAAAGCAATTTTCAGTAAACAATTTTACAATCTGTGAAAATATAGTAATAGGACAATTTAAAAAAGTTATTTTCTTCTTGGCGTACAACTTTATTTGATGAAAATTAATGCACATTCCTGAAAAATTGGCACTAAGTTAGTCACTTTCAACATATGGCTTCAATTTCATTTCTTGCTAAATTTCCAGAATTCATATTTTATACAAGAAATACTGTGAAAATTAAATGTAATTACTTATTGCGACTAATATTATAAAGAAATTAAATAAGAGGTTAATAGAAAATTTAGAGTGAGTAAAAATATTTATTAGTACTTACATAAATGCAAATGCATGGCTAGTCTGAAAATATACAGAATTGTTAAGGGGCAAAATGCTGCTTACTTTCAGGTGATGGAAGTTCTCTAATAGCAAGAAATCTCTACATATACGTATATATTAATTGATATACGAGTATCAAAGAAAAGTTTAAAATTTAGTTTCTGCATTCAAAATGCAAAGACTGGGAAAAAAATATTTAAAAGACTTTAATCTTATAATACTATATTAGTACTTTATCATTCATAACAAAATTTACTTCTTTAAGAATAAAAATATTTTAAAAGACATATATCTATATCCTAAAAAACAAGACTTCTTAATTCTTAAGACATCCCAATCTTTATCAGAACAGTAAATAAAATTTCACGGAATGATATGGGTATACTTTCAAATAAAATACACAAAATACCATGCAGAGAAGAATTATCCACAATTCTTATTTAGTGACACTGATTTATACAAAAATGGCCCATCATTTATTGAATTAAAGATTAAATATTTATTTTCAAGCAAAAGTGTAATACCTTGGGATCCTATGCTCAAGTGGCCAGGCTGTGATGTTAACTGTGATAAAATATCTGAAACACCTTTCATTTCTTCATACGGATCTAAACGATTTGCTCTTAGATAGTCTAGAAGTGCTGCAGGAAATTTTTTCCGCCACAATATAAAATCCATCATATTTCCATTACTTTTCAAAAAAAAATATTCAGTCTGTTGTAAATAATATTTCATATGTAAAGACCGTAATTTTTTAGCAAGGTGCTCAGCCACCTTCTTTCGCTTCATTACTACATCTTTGTTAAGAATATTAGATTTATCTAACTTTATTCTTTTTGCTTTTGGACTGCTTGGAATGATAGAAACTTTTCCTTCACAAAACATCAAGCCAGACAACAATTTATTCACAACAGATAGACGAGATACCACATCAACAACATTATTTACAGATGATACTACTTCTGTGCGACTTGAATTAGATGAAGTTGACGGCCTTTTAACAGCAGTTCTAACTTGAGTCTGAGTTGAAGATAAAGCTTTTTGTGGCATGCTAGCAACTTGTAAAGATTGCCCGGGAGTACTAATCACGACTTTTTGCATAGTACTAGCAGTTGATAAAGAAGATACTGCTGCACTAGCTAGACTATAAGAATGAACTTTAGTTACATCACTAGATGGTGCTAAACCTGCAGAAGATTCCAATACCATTATTTGCTGAGGAGTAGCACCGCCAGCTGGAGTTGGTGGAGCTATGCGCAAAGCATAAACATCTGGCATGCCGCTGTTCAAGACAATTCTTTGCGTCACAGAAGTCTGAGAAACTGGCTGAGCAAGAATTGCACCGCTTGCTGTCCGTTGACCACTTGTGACAACATTTGTTATATTTCCCACAGTCTGAAACTGCTGTTGTGTGGAAGCACTGGCATTCACTATAGAATTTTGTAGTTCGACAGCATGGAGAGAGGAATTTGAAGTTGTAGCTACTAAAATATGTGCTACCTCCTGTGAGGATGTTACTGCACATCTTGGATTAACTGATAATGATTCTGATACAGAAGTGGTATTAGTCCCTAAAATTAAGAAAACACATATCATACACATATAATAACAACAATAAATAAATACTTTTCTGCTTAAATCAAATAAAAATCATACTTCCACAAACATTTTAGAGTACAATTAATTCTATGGTTATATATAACAAGCAAACTATATGCCCCTTCCAAAATGTATCAATGAAATTTTACATGTGAATGCAAAGGATCTTAAAATTTCACATTTCACAAGGGCATATATATTGCTATAAATACACTTTTTTAATAAAAATTAAGCCTTTTTTACAAGTTTACATTTTACAACTTATTACATGGCACAAAAAATTCAATGCAAATTCATCAAATATAAAAGCAGATGATTAAATCACCATTAAGTGAAAAAAAAAATCATAAAACTAAAAACAAGCATTATGTACAATACATTAAAAGATGGAAGTGCCTGTGTATAACTGAATAAGATGTGGTACCAATTGAACTGATTTAAACCTTTAAAGACAAACTCATGCATTAAATACAAAAGCTTCTAGAGAATTTTTACATTGAAATTAGGAAGCAAAATAATCTAAATTAAATAAAAATTCTTAGTGCTATTTTGCTAAACAGTACAAACCAAAATTATTAATGTTTCACATATTTTATTATAAAACTTATATATTGTACAGTATGTAACAAATGAAAAATAAAGAACATTTTTAAAGTAGATATACAAGTGCCCAAATACAGAGTAATTCAAAATGAATGGCAGAAAAAGGAAATATAAGTGACTACTGCAATGATTTTAGTTTCCAAGTACAGGTTTAACAAGAAACTTTCCAGAAGCTTATTCAAGATGGCAATGTCATCAACAACAATGAAAAAATGGGGGCTTATCTACTACTAAAATTTTAAACTTTATTTATAATTCCAAATTTTCCCTAAAATATACATCACAAGGTCACAAAGTGGGCGAAACAGTCTCAGAAGATTGGCAACTTATTTAACATCATTTATGGATAACATAACATAGAAAAATATACATCTTACCCTCAAAGCCTCAGGAACTTAACTGAATGTGCTACAAGCAGCAGTGTGATATGGTATAAAAGCATCTGCAACCATACCTTGCAAATTTTGCTGGGTAATGGTAATAAGAACTACTAACAAACAAAAACACAGTTCTGTGTTAATTTGTAAGCATGGCTGAAGTTGAATGGTTTTGTAGACACATAAGTATTAGCTTCAAGAGCCATATTTTACTTACATAAGAAAGAAAACAGGCATAATTTAAGATTTCATATCATAAAAAATCTGCATGGATACTAGAACATAAGAATTCTCCAACGATAAATATTTCAATGCCTAAAAGTAACTTCATTTATAGAATAATAAATTAGGTTATTTGGATATGGCAAATCACACAAGGGATATCTCCATAAAGGAAGATATGCCTTTAAAGGAAACTAGCTCAGGTTCACTTTACACATGAAGAAAATCACGAAAAATAACAATACAGCCAGCCCATTCGCCTGGGATGAGACCCAAGGCTAATTTTCCAGTATTCAACATTCTTAACCACTCGACTGCTTGTGTGTGTCTTACAACCAGATGGTGAGCTGCCATATTGGTATAGACCACAGAAATCAGAAGTAAAAGGAGTGACGTCTAGCAAGTTTAAAACTCCTAAAGTTTCCTGTCCCACTTCTTTTAATGGCTTTGTCAGACTACTACATAAATGCAATTCTATGTGTTTTTTTGCTACTTTAAACATACTAATGCAGGGGGATTTCATAGTTTCAGGAGGAGTGTGTTAGCCTTTTATTTACCCATCAAGTATTTAGTTTTATTTTATAAATATAAAAAACTACATTTATTAAAATTTTGACATTTGGAATAAGGGGGAATGATTATCTAGCAATGCTGAAAGGGGTGCATGGAGTAGCAAACTATCACAGTTCCTTGTGATTTTTTAACAATTAGTTTTGTGCAACCTATATACAGATAGATAATTTAAAAGACAATGAAATTGTATCCAAATACGACTAATGTATTTCAATAATAATGTTAAAAAATATGGTACATAACTGTAGCTCTCCCCAGACATCTTCCAGTTAGTAGATATATCAGCAACAAAAACACAAAAAAATATTATCTAATGTTACTAAATGTTTACTAAAAAATTTCCCATGTGGTAAATATCCAAAAGAAAATAATTTTTACGGCAAATTTGACAATTGAATTGATAACAATAAACATTCTATATTACTGTTTCTAGGGAAAGATACTTACTTGTATTACCCCCCTTATTCAAACACATGCATATTTAGTTTGTTTTCTCTATTATAAGAATATATTTTCAAATGAAATATTAAAAAACCTAAATATTTATTGAATGAAAGAAAAACATAATTTTATGATAATCATTGAAAAGTTTTGATTTAGCTTTTCCAACATTAACATTTTTCAACATTACCCATTAAAAACTGATTTTTTAAATGTCAAAACATATTTTCATTAATATTTTATGGTAATCATTAACTAAAGACTTATGTATAACATAAAAATAATTTAATTAAAAGTTAATGAAGTAAAATTCTTTATGATGAAAAAACTACCCCTTCTAAAAAAATTCATATTTCTTTATTATAAAAATATTAATTTTAATTAATGCAACATAAAACCAGTTAAAGCAATTTAAAATATTTATAAAATTGCTCAAATTTTCATATTCAAATTATTGATCTAATAATCATAATTCAGCTATGCTGTATTATTTTAAGCATATTAACCGTTAAAAGCTAAGTTTTAATTTAACTAAGTTCTGAATTTAAACAAACATTTAAATAACGTTTAACTCTACACTTTGTTACCAATGTAAATTATATGCAAATACTTCCAATAAAGGTATCATTAATTAATTATATGCAGACACTTTTCCTAGGTGTTAAAAAACACCAATAAATTATAACACAAAAGAGCAAGAAGCAACAAACAGAAAAAAAAATTCCGATTTATGTGAACTCAAATTTGGCCAGCTTTTAATTTTATTTTACATCTTTAAACCTGTAATTAACTTGCATTTGAAACACCAATTCTTCTCTTCTGTTATTATTCAGAAAATACTGATAATTTCACACTACTCTGCCTTATATTAGAACTAGCTTCAAAAAAATAATGTGTGCCAAAACATAATAAACTATGCTATATGTCACATTTCACACAGATCTTCAAAACTTGTAGTTAAGTTATAAATTTTGTTCCCGGATAATGCAGTTATTTTATCTTTATATACACAACACAGTTATTATTGTATTGTTTGGTGCAGGAAAAGCAGAGAATGGAGTTTGATATTATGTATTTCTCTTAATTTTTTATAACCATGAAATGAGTTGTCAGAGGAATCTATTACATTTTACGAAGCTTTTCATGTTAAATTTATTAATCTATTATATATATATATATATATATATATAAAAAATCCATTTTATGGAGCACATTAATTTTAATTTTATTTTGCATTGTTATATATATTAAAACTATATTCCTTACTACATATTTTTCAGCTGTTGGTGCTATTTATTTATTACATAAAGACAGGCAAAATTAGCCCCAACTTATGTGCTTTTCATCAGTTCTACCCATCATGAAAATTTGTGTATTACAGATACATAAAACAACATGCCACTGTAAACTTAAAAAAAAATATTGTCAACAACAGAGCATCTTTGATTGCAAAAGCATTTCGCTATAATAAAGAAGCTTTACTTAAGAGAAACAGACAACAAAGTGCTATCTAAGTATCTTTTTTCAGCTTCCATTTATGATAAGGGGGGGGTGAGGTAAGCCAATTGATATAGTATTGATATCTATGATTTTTTGATTGACTGTTAACACCTTAGATCACCCTACTCCATGTTTTGCTACCTACTTAACCCAGAATATGTGATGTCAAGAAGTTCACACTCCCACTTTCACAGAACTTACAGCAGTTGAAGCAGAGGATAGGTAATGAAGAATATAATGGCAAGGGTATTGCAAAGAACTAGCATATCACGTTAAGCATCTTCCACAACAGACACAGCACTAGCATTAAAAAGCTGCGAATGTCGGTAGGAACTTTGTTGTGTATTAATTCATAACGAATTTAAAATTTGTATACTAATTCTTAATCTACTTAATAATATTATTTAAACAGAATTGTCTTTTGAATGCGCTATACAGTGGTGGCTAGAATTGTGGACACTTTTGGAAATTTTTATGTTTTTGAACTTTGTATGCTTATAGAAAACGTTACGTTTCACAAAATACAACCTTGTACATATCATTTGAAAGAGAATTTATTACTGAATTCAATACAAAACACAAAATTCAATTATTTGCAATACAAAAAAGTTAAATGATAATAGTTATCGATATACATTAGATAGTGAATAGGGTACCCTTTATTTTTGATTACAGCTTCACATCGAGGTTTCATTGAGCTGGCAAAGTTCAAAGTATAGAAAGTTCAAAGACTTTCTATAAGCATACAAAGTTCAAAAACATAAAAATTTCCAAGTGTCCACAATTTTGGCCACCACTGTATTTCTTAAAAAGGTAATGAAAAGAATTATACAGATATAATGTGGGTGATTTTCTTTTCTAGCCTACTACCCTTTTCAGATCATAGATTGGTGAGCAGCTGCAGGGTAATATTTACTATATAAAGATGATAATTTATATAATTTAATTTAGCTTTAATTACCAGTTTTTAGATTTCACATATTTTATGAGTTAATTTTAATATAGTTGTCCAGCACCAGTAGATGTTCAAAGATTATTCAACAGTAAAGTTCAAATTAAATATATTCAAAACTTTTTTTAATTATTTTTTTCCAACGTAACAACTTAAAATATAATGTTGCATGTTACATCTGTATTTATGCAATAAATTCATTTTAGTAATCACAGTCTCTCTTCTTTTCATACCATTCACTTTGAATTATGCTATAAAAGTCTCTGCATAATCAATCTGATGTTAACAACAAATCCATATTTTCAAAATTGTGATGCTAAAACTTTTATTATAACTTTCCAATTGCCTTCCTCTAAATAGTATCTGCTCAAAATAAAATCCTACAGAAATTAAGAAGGTTATTCTGGCCAACTATCTGGATTAGCCAAAAAAAAAAAAAAAAAAAAACTTTTAAGGCATTCATACTTCTTTAGAGAAAAAAAATTCTTGAAATGTAACTCTTAGATGATGCAAAAACACAGAACTATTCCTATTTAAAAAACTATGATTTATATCTTAAAATTACTTCATACTGCAGAATGAATTAAAAAACTGTTAGTCATAAAATAAAATAAATAACAACCTTGTACTTGTACAGGAGTGACTACATGCTGTAGCTGAGTCCCTAATGCTACTCTGTGATACTGAAAAGCACTGCCTTCCTGTATGCCACCTCCTTCTGAAAGAATAACAGTTGCAGGAGCTCCAAGAGTATTTGTCACGAAAGCAGTACGTCTCTGGTCAAGGGAATGCACTGAGCGAACAGTTGAAACAGTCCGTGAAGCAGAATGCGTAACTTGTTCCTCAGCCTTTGGCTCTTTATTCGATGCAGTAACATCTTTTCGAGCTTGGATCATGACCCTTAAGAGTCAGGTAACTAAGAAAACAAACTTTGCATTAGATGATCCGGTATCTGCCATAATAGAAAATGCAATAACAGGATAATTTTATAAAAATTCTCAAATGGTACTAAAATTTTAAAAATTTTAGAATGAACGAAAACTAAGACATTATATATAAACTTCTATTACAAATTTTAATGCTTAATATAAATATGTGACGAAAACTCTTGGATCTAGCTTTAGTTAAAGAAAAGAAATTTTTCACTTTCACCAAATCTTGTTCCAATCGATAATCCCCCCAAAAAAATATTAAGATAGTTAATGAATCAGGACACTATTACCAAAACAACTTACAAATTACATTCATTTTCAAGATATATGGTTATGAATTAGTAATAACATGAATGTCATCCTTTTGGATATTAATTGGGAAAGATAGGGAGAAGGGAAATCAATGCTTCATTAACACATAGAATGCCACCAAATAAATATATGTAATGAAAGCACAATTTTGGAAACACAGATGCAAGAACACCGATATGTAGATGTACGAAGATACTTGATGTTTAGAGCGTCCATCCATTTTGAAGAAGAAGCAATTGAACCGAATTAAATTCCATATTTTATTGAAATCCTCATTTGTGGCCACAATTCACTTGGCACTCCAACCGCGCATATTTCCAGAACATTTACAATTTTGATACTATAGCGATAGAAGAGATCATAGCAGCACATAGATGATTGCAGCAAAGCATCTGGCCAGGAGAAAAGCACAAGCAAAAGTGACTCATCAGTTCAAAGGAAAAGGGGGAGGAATCAAAAAAGTTTTGGTTTGCAATTATTTTGATTGGGCAAGAGGTAAATGCATCAAGCATTAGGATTTTTAGCTCATGGAGGTAGGCAGTAAGAAGGGAGAGGCCCTAACCAGTTTTCCTGATACACTGCTTTGAAGTACTGGTGATCCCTTTGTGGTGACCTAAACATTCAGTCACTAACCATTAAGATCAATGGGTTTTGACACGATCGGATGTAAATATTTTGTAATTATGTAATAAATATACATATTAATGTATATATTTCCTTTTTCTACAATATTTCAGAGTCCTAAGTATGTGAAAAGAATACATTTTTAAACAACATTTCATTCTGAATGGAATTAAATGCTATACTTTTCACAGAACAGTTTGCTCAGAATGGTTTAATTTGAATGAAATATTTTCACAAGTTTTCATTAATTACATTAGAAAAACATTTTAAGGTAATTCGAGTTTATTCGATTAAAGATTACAAAAATTAAGATAAAAGTTTATTGTATTACTAATATTAAAATTATGCATTATTTCTTTTCCATTTATACACCTTCTTCCTAAAATACTTTCTCAAATGTGACATTTTTTAGTTTCTCAGGCAACTTTTAATTTGAAAACTTATAATTCGAGTTAATAATATAAACTTATAAACTTCGAAAACTTTTAATTCGAAAGTCAATTTATAATTAATCCTCTATTCAGTCCATTTCAAATTAGAGCACCTTTTAATTTAATAGCGAAATACTTTAAATAGTACTTAACTTTTTCTGAATATTTCTGAAAGGAAACAAAATAAGGATTATTTTTTAAATATTATTTAAAACTTGCAATTGACTTTTATAAAATGTAAGGGGAATAATTCTTTTAATTATACTTATTAGATTTTTTTACCCTTAATTTCAACAATACATATTCCAAAACTCTTCATTATTACTTTCTTAAGTACGCATCTCATAGAAATTGCTTTACAATACCTTTTAACAGATTGCTTTCCAGTAGTTTTATATATGTATTTGTAAACAGGACTTAAATTTATGTTTACAATTCAATGTTAAGGTTTATTATATAGTATTTAGATAATATTTTTAATCACTATAAATTTAGACGCATTTAATACTTAGATTTCTACACAGTTAACTTTCACAGGAATTTATGAATGAATAAATCCTTCCTTTCAAATACATTTATAAATAATTTAATTAATATTTACGTATTTTGTTAAAGGCAAATACTTGCTTTTTGCAAACATATGCATAAATACCCATACATACTTCATACTTTTCATTTCCGGTTTAATTTCTGTGCATTTTTCAAGTACAGTAATTCTAAATAATTTAGCACATACCCGGAATTTTTACATAAGAAATACGTATAACTATAATTTGAATGAAAATTACATTTTAATATGGTCTCAAAGGTCAGTTTTTATTCGAAATTCCTCCACGATAGCAGCTTTGACTTTAGGCAGACAGCCCTTGCATGCCTTTACTCTGATTAATAAAAACTTAACTGACCTATGTGCCCAATTACAAATATTTTAACATGAATACTTTCATATTTACATTTAGTCATCAAGTTTCAAACTTTTAACTTAAAACACATTTTAGGATGCATTCATTATCAAATTCAAATTTTCTAGTAAATATATTTTGGCAGAGCACTCAATACCTCTTTTAGTGATTTTACCCAGTTTAATAATTCTCTGATAATATAATAAATAATAACTATCCATTTTACATTTAAACATTAACCACACTGTCATCAGATCGCAAACTTGATTGCCTTAGTCTGCATAATACTGTTTCATTCACAGAGTTCACAAATGTATCAGATTTCTGTTCCACACACTTACGTAAAACTACATAATTTTACACAAATGTGTGGTTATAAATCAAGGAAAACTTAACTCATTGGCATATCTGTGTGTATATTTATTAATTTTGACGGGTATTGCAGCATTTGGTTTTAGTTTTCAATTAACCCAAATAATTAAAAAGTATAAACCCAAAGTGATTATTTTTCAATTATAAAAAAATAAAATGATGAGTTTGAAATGAAAGCCTCTCCTCTGAAATTTTTTAAAAAGTACATGTTACAATAATATGCGAATGACAAAAAAAAAAAAAAAAAAAAAAAAAAAAAAAAAAAAAAAAACTTTTTTTAAACATTTCGGTATTTGGAACATAAAATAAAAATAGCAAACTCTATAAGGGTATCGAAAGATTTCATTAAGGAACGAAGTTTTTCTTCTAAGAATAATTTGCTCTTTAATTTTGATTCACGTTACATTTATAAACAATTATACAAAATCACCGTTTGTTATTGAAAATTCACGCTGTATGAACAGTTTCTCAAGCACTTTCGGTTTTGACTACAAGCCATCACTCAAGATCTCCAAACCAGAAGTAATGGATTACATCGGTTTTCATCCTCCGGATCACAGATGAGTAGTAATTATAGATCATTTTATAATTCTGTTTTCTACTTATCATTTAATTTCATTTTCTTTAGTTAAATTTTTGCTTTTATTTTGGCTTAAAAACCTTGCACAATGTCTGATGTTCATGCCGTCCAAATTCCGGTTTATAACCGATCAGACCCATCTTTATGGTTTATTATGTGTGAAAGTACCTTTGCTCTTGCCACCCCCAAACCTATCACAGAATCCATTACTAAATATAATTATGTAGTTTGCTCATCTTCCTCCAGATATTGCATCACTAGTACGGGATTTACTTATGAAACCAGACCCTATTGATCCATATGCAAAGCTTAAAACTGAGTTAATAAATCGTTCAGGAGAATCTTCTCAGCAAGAAATTCGCCAATTATTATCTGGAGAAGAATTAGGTTCTCGAAAACCTTCCGATTTGCTTAGAAATATGAAACGTCGAGCAGAATCTTTAAATGTTCCTGATAACTTAATGTTAGAATTATTCCTTCAACGTTTGCCTTCGACTGTTCAGTCTATTTTGGCAGCGGTTTCCAATTTAACTGTAGATAAAGCTGCAGAAATTGCCGACAGAATTTTAGAAGTAAATCCAACCCCAGGGACTTGTGCCGTTTCTCGCACAGTCGATCAGTCTCTTGAGGATAAATTATTTAAACAAATAGAAAACAAACGTATTGATCGCATTTCTCTTTCTCGTGGTCGCTCGCCAATCGCGGAGATCGCAATCGAAAGAAGCAATTCCAAAAGAGAAATCGTTTGCTGGTCGAGATCGCAAATCAGCAAAGAATAAGAAAGAAGCAAGAAGAAAAGGAGAGAGTATATCTGTTTGCTGGTATCATAGACGTTTTGGGAAAAAAAGATGATGACAAAAAAACAATGTCACTCTTGTTCAAGTATGGGTACAAAACGGGAAACGAAACCAGCAAAGAATAGAGCACAGGTCTTCATCTTCGACTTTTCCTCCTTTCTGTTCGTTGCCTGTTCGTTCGTGACCGTAGAACAAACGTTCTTTCATTCTTGGTTCCGGCTCTGACGTGTACTTCCACTAATTCTCAAAAACGGAATTCGTCCCAACAAACACTTTTCGCTGCTAATTCTTCTACTATTCATGTTTATGGTCAAAAAAACACTTTCTTTGGATTTCAAATTAAGACGACAGTTTACATGGACTTTTCTTATAGCAAATGTTAGTACACCCATTCTTGGAGCAGATTTTCTCCATTTCTTTGAATTGGTGCCTGATCTCAGAAACAAATGTCTCAAAGATTTAAAAACGCATTTTAAAACCGTCGGTTGCGTGAAAAATGCAAGCATTTATTCAGTAAAAACTGTATTTAGTGATACACCATATCACAAAATTTTAAAAGAATTTCCTTCAGTTACTAGATTACCAGATCCTAACCAACCTGTTAAACACAACACCGTTCATTATATCATAACTAAAGGTCCACCTGTGGTTGCAAAACCTCGTCGGTTAGCTCCAGATCGCTTAAAAAGCAAAACAAGAATTTCAAACTATGATGCAATTGGGGCATTTGAGACCTTCGAGCAGCAATTATGCATCCCCACTTCACATGGTTCCAAAAAAGGGAAGTCTGGAATGGAGACCTGTAGGAGATTATCGAGCATTGAACGCTCAAACAATAAAAGACAAATACCCTATTCCATGCTTAGCCGATTTTACTGCTGCATTGCACGGTACTAAAATTTTTAGTCATGTCGACCTGATTAAGGCATACCATCAAATACCAATTAACCCAGCCGACATCCACAAAACCGCCATATGCACACCA